GCATATAACAACAACAACATATATTTAGTTTTATACAATTCATTTGTTTTATCTATTTTTTAAAATTAAAAAAAAATTGTATTATTTTTACGTGTACCGTCAAATCAGACCTGACTGGTACAGGAGGAGATTGCCCCCTCCTTCTCCAGCAGAGCATCTGGTGGATTTGAACCACGTACCTCTGCTACCAAGCCGAAGGTGGTATAGCACTGGTCTGTGCGTTGCTGTACAGAGGTAACTCGTGGATGCTGTGATGCTGAAGACTGTACCCATGGTGGACAGTGTTGGCTGGAGCTTCCCGACTAAATCAAGCCTGGAAGCAGGAGCAGCATCCACTTCCGAAATGGCTTGCCTCCGGAAACTCTTGTGTACGAACAGTGCTCAGGCCGTTCGTTCATAGGGTCGCTATGAGTCGTCTACGACTTGACAGCATCAAACAACCACCACCACCTCTGGGATTGCAGTGCGGCATCTTGCCACTTGGCCACCAGAGCTCCCTATGTTTCTGGCATTTTTTTTTTTTAAATACACTCTATACTTGGAATGCTGTTCCAGAAAGTATTGGATAATTTTCAGCAGAATCTTGCTTTCATTTGATATTAATGATATTGTTTGATAATTTCCACACTCTGTCTGGTCACCTCTCTTTGGAATGGGAACAAATATAGATCTTTTCCAGTTAGTTGGCCAGGTGGTTGTCCTCCAGGTTTTTTGGCACAACTTGGTGAGCATGTCCAGGGCAGCGGCTGTCTGTTGAAATAGGTCAATTGGTATGCTGTCAATTCCTGGGGCCTTGTTTTTTGCCAATTCTTTCAAAGCATCTTGAACTTCTTCATCACCACGGGCTTTGCTCTTATGTTGTTTCATGAAATTCTTCGGTATCTACCAATTCCCTTTGGTACAATGACTCCATCTTTTTCCAATGCTTCCTGGATCATTTAATGTTCTGCCCAAAACATCTTTTGAGTATTGCAACCTGAGGCTTGAATTTGTTCTTCAGTTCCTTCAGCTTAAAACATGCTAAGTGAGTTCAACCCCTTTGATTTTCTGACTCCAGCTCTTTGCAAATTTTAATACTTTGTCTTCCTACACTGACCTTTGAAATCTTCTGTTCAGCTCCTTAATATCTTGATTTCTTCCCTTTGCGTGGGCTTCTCAGCACTCTAGTGAAATATTCAGTCTCTTCTGACATCCGTCTTTGTCTTTTCTTCCTCTTCTCTCTTTGTAATGACCCTCTGCATTCTTCCTTGATGAAATTCTTGATATCCTTCCACAGCTCATCTGGTCTTTGCTCATTAGTGTTCAAGGCCTCAAACCTGTTCCTGAGATAGTGTTTTAATTTAGGTTGGAGAGATGCAAGGTCAAATTTTGGTTCACATGGATTTAACTTAATTTTCCTTAGCTTCAGCTTGAACTTGCATATATGAGTAGTTGGTGGTCTGTTCCACAATCAGTACCTGGCCTAGTTTTCACAGCTGATATTGGGCTAGCCAGAGCAACGATGTCGTCTGGAGAGTAAGGTACACCTCATCCAGGCCATAATCTTTGCAAATACTTGCTATGCATCAGAAAGCTGGACAATGATGATAGAAGGTGAATTGATGCCTTTGAGCTGTGGTGCTGGAGAAGACTATTGAATATCCCATGGACTGCTAGGAGAACAAACAGATTCGTCCTGGAGAGGGTGAGACCAGGCTGCACCTTGGAGGCAATGATTCTGTAGCTTCATTTGACATACTCTGGACATGTTAAAAGGAGGGACCAGTCCTTGGAGAGGGACATCATGCTTGGGAGGGTGGAGGGACAGCACAAGAGAGGAAGTCCTTGATTAGATGGATTGATTCAGTGACTGGGGAAATGGGTGGTGTGTCAGAGACAGTGAGGCTGGCACAGGACAGAGCAAGGTTTAGGGCTGTTGTACATAGGGTGGCTATGAGTCACAGGCGACTCGGTGGTACATAACAACAATAACATAATTGGAAATGTATGTTTAACATCGAACAGTCATTTTTGGTTTTCAATACAATTTTAACCAATTAAAAGTTACTTTCTGCTAGACAGTCCCTTTGGCTAATTTACATGTAAAGGTTTATAGTCATTTTACATCAGTCTTTTCAGAAACATTAAAGTGATTGTTATTCCATTTATTTCATGATTTCTATACTATAAATTCTTTGAAAATAACAACTGCATTTCTTTCTTTTGCATCCTTCTCTGCTTTACATTGTGAATTTGGGCTCCTTTTTACCTTTAATTACCCTCCCATCTTTAGGTTCAGGTAGGAGAGCAAGCTCAGAAAGAAAACTCACTCCTGGAGTCTTCAGATAGTTCAGAGAAGTTATATTGTTCGACCTGTGACCAGACCTTTCAGAACCACCAAGATCAGGTAAAAGGCTGGATATTAGAAATGTAGGTATACTGGTGGGTGGCAGAGGTTGAAATTTGTCTAAATGAAGCCTTGTGCTTTGGCATAGGTTAGGGCTAGGTTTCAATCTGTTGTTCACAGGGTCACTCTGCATTGTAGTTAACTCGAGAGCACCTATCAACCAGGAATACTTTGACTAAAGAAGCCTGTGTGACTTGTCACTGTTCCTGGGGCTGCATTTTCACCTTTTGCCTCCTCCTTGGCTTCTTACCAGAGAGAACATTATAAACTTGACTGGCATCGGTTTAACTTAAAGCAGCGCCTTAAGAACAAGCCCCACCTATCTGCCCTGGACTTTGAAAAGCAGAGCTCTGCAGGTGAAGACTGGTGGGAAACCTGAATGGGAGTAGGACATGAGGACCGAGGACATTTAGGAGCTTGGGGAAAGGTCAAAAGTCAGGTACCAAATTTATGTATTATTTTTATAGGAGATCTCTCCAGCATCTCAGGATCAGAAGACTCGGACTCAGACAGTGAGGAAGACTCACAGATAGTGGATGAAGAGAGGCCTGAGTCTGAGAAGCCTAACCAGCGAGGCTTCCACTCCCATAGGGTTCTTTTCCAAAATGCCCAGGGCCAGTTTATCTCTGTCTACCGCTGCATCCTAGGCCCTCGGCAGGTAAGGAGCAGCACAGGTTGCATGGCCAGCCTTTTGAATGATCCATTCATTCAGTTTCTTCTATACTTTTTTTGTGTTTGGAATAGATGTCACACTCGACAGTATAGTCTTTGGTTTAGCTGACCTGAATGTGGGAAGGAATTAGTGTAACAGAGTTAGGTTTGGGAACAGACTGGTCTGGGTTTCAGTGTGGTTCTACCGCTTGATCTTGTCAACCACTGTGAGCCTCAGATGTCCTTTTTTGTAAAATTGAGACAATTCTCAGATTGTCCACATTAAACAGGATAGCTCTGGCATGTGCGATTCTCTTCAGTATTTGTTTCTTGCTTTCCAGTCAGAGTTTTAAACCAGTTCAGTCATGACACTAATGAAGCAAAATCAGAACTGACCTGAATTTTTAAGTTTGGACAAAGTAGAATGACAGCTGGAAGAATTCCAAGCTGAAACCCTGAGAGGAGAGCGTCAGATGACGTGTAGTGAGCTCTGTGATTGCCAGGAGGGTGAATGTAACACAACATTCAATCAGTGTGGACAGACAGCAAGTTGGAGTGATGCAGCATTGTTTCTGACTGTGCGGGTTAAGAGACTTGGTTGCTATGCAACATGCTCTTGTTTTCCAAGAGATTGCTTCTAGCCGTTTGTCAACTCTTAATTTTCCCCAATGCAGTTATATCATTCCTTTTTACAAATTTCACCACATTTTATAAATTCAGGTTTGTTCCAGTTTTGCACTATTAGACATGACTGAACCAGAAGAACTGGTGTGAAGTCCTGTTTGTGCTTCTTCTCTCATGCAGGAACCCCCAGAAGAGCCAGAACGATTGGTACAGAACCTACAAAGTGGAGGTCCCAAGTACTGCGTGGTGCTCATGGCTACAGCTGGGCACTTTGCTGGTGCCATCTTTCAAGGGTGAGAGGGTGCCCCAATGGGGAGAGGATGGGTGGAATGGATCCTGTTAGTCTGGGAGCACCAGCTGCTCTTCAGTACTGAATTTGTGCTGTCTGCAGAAGAGAAGTGGTGGCACACAAAACCTTCCACCGCTACACCGTGCGGGCCAAGCGGGGCACAGCTCAGGGGCTTCGGGATGCCCGAGGTGGGGCTTCTCGCTCTGCTGGAGCCAACCTGAGGCGCTATAATGAAGCCACACTGTATAAGGTGAGTTCAGCCTCCCAGATCTGGTTCCATACCTCTCTCTGGAGTCAACTCATTAAATGTTACAGTAGAGAGGCTGCTTTCATAATTTGTTCTTCTAAGATTAGTAGCAGACTAATTACAAAAAGGGGGAGGCCAACAGTGTCCCAGATGTTTGATATGCTGGACCATTCCATGACTGGACTCAGCTGTTTTCCTTCATTCAGTTCCCCTCCTCCCGTGTCCCTTGGTTTTGGTGGTTCACTGGAAAGTCTTAACAGAGACTCAGACTCATCAGGGAAATGATTCACGACTGTGGATGATGCAGGCCAGTGTTGCAGAGACTAGTGAATGATGGGCTAGCTGCAGCTGGATGCTACGTCCCAGGAAAGCGAGCATCCCAAAAGAGAGAGCAAGCGAGCTAATAGTGAGCTCTTGTGAGCTTAGAGGGTTGGGCTTGTATCCCACCCTAATCCTGTCCTTAATACAATAAATACTTCATCCCAAAATAAACAGCTGATGTCTAGGAAACACATTTTGAATAATGAACCTCTGATAATACTGAGGTGTTCCACATCCTTCAAGTCTTTATTATTTCTGGGTAAACAAAGGTTGTTCTTGTTGTTGTTGTTATGTGCCGTCGAGTCACTTGCAGCTCATAGTGACCCTATGTACAACAGCCCTAAACCCTGCTCTATCCTGCGCCAATCGCACTGCCTCCGACACACCCAACCCAAATACCCTAGTCACTGAATCAATCTACCTCATAGAGGGCCTTCCCCTCCTGCGTCGTCCCTCCACCCTCCCAAGCATGATGTCCCTCTCCAAGGACCTCTCCCTCCTTACAACATGTCCAGAGTACATCAGACGAAGCCCCAGAATCCTTGCCTCCAAGGAGCAGCCCAGTTTAACCCTCTCCAGGATGAATCTGTTTGTTTTCTTGGCAGTCCAGAGTACATTCAATACTCTTCTCCAGCACCACAGCTCAAAGGCATCAATTCTCCTATCCTCCTTGGTCATTGTCTAACTCTCTGATGCATAATAAGTGATTGCAAAGACCATGGCCTGTATCAGATGCACCTTAGTCTCCAGAGTGACACCATTGTTCTTCAGTACCCTGGAGAGGTCCCTAACAGCAGACTTTCCCATCGCAATACGTTTTTTGATTTCCTGGCTACTGGTGCCAAGAGTGTTGACTGTGTTGCTGAGCAGACTAAAGTTGTTAACAATCTCTATCTCTTCACCATCCATCCTGATGCTGCCAATTGGCCCAGTGGTGAGAATCTTTGTCTTCTTGACATTGAGCTTCAATCCATACTGAAGGTTGCAGTCCTTGACCCTCTGCTGCAAGCATTTCAGGTCCTCCTCACTTTCAGCAAGCAGGGTTGAGTCACCTGCATAACAGATTGTTAATAGATCTTCCACCAATCCTGATGCCACATTTCTCCTCATAGAGCCCAGCCTCTCAGATAATCTGTTCTGCATACAGATTGAAAAGGTATGGAGACAGGACACATCCCTGGCGTGCGCCTTTCCCAATTTTGAACCATGCAATGTTTCCTTGCTCTGTTCTCACGACTGCCTCTTGGTCCAAGTATAGGTTTCACATTAGCACCATCAAGTGTCCTGGGATTCCCATTCTTCTCAGAGTCAGCCACAGTTTGTTATGATCCAGACAGTCAAACGCCTTTGCATAATCAATGAAATACAGATAGAAATTCTTCTGGTATTCCCTGCTTTCAGCTAAGATCCACCTAACATCAGCTACAATATCCCTAGTACCATGACCCCGTCTAAACCCAGCCTAGACTTCTGGCAGTTCTCTGCTGATGTGCTGTTCCAGTCGTTTTTGGATAATCTTCAGTAGAATCTTGCTTGCATGTGAAATCAATGAGATTGTTCTATAGTTTCCACACTCAGTTGGGTCACCCTTCTTTGGAATGGGAACAAATATAGATTTCTTCCAGTCAGTAGGCCAAGTGGTTGTTCTCCAGATTTCTTGGCACAAACAAAGGTAGGATAGGAATTTTTCAGGAGGCCTTCGTATTCTCACTCTCCCTCTGTGTGATCCACGAGCTCCATGACCTTTGGTTATTTTTAATCTCCATGATCTTTGGTTTTTTGGTTGGAGATTTAAAATATAGAAGTTACTCTTTCCTCTAGGAGGTTCGTGACCTGCTGGCAGGGCCAAGCTGGGCTGAGGCCCTAGGGGAGGCTGGGACCATTCTGCTACATTCTCCCCGCTCTGGCCGATCCTTGTTCTTCGGAGGCCATGGGGCACCCCTTCAACGGGGGGATCCTCGACTTTGGAATATCCCCCTCATCACCCGCAGACCCACATTTCGAGAGCTACAGCGCGTGCTCCACAAGCTGACCACTTTGCATGTACACGGTGAGCCTCTGACCCAGATCCCTAGACTCCATAAACCTTCCTAGACTTTCTTTTCCAAGCTTCATAGGTGTTGCCAAAGGATTTTCTAGTCTTTGGATTATGTATAACCCAACTACATTTTTTCACTGAGAAATCTGGACTGGATTCTCTGCTTTGCTTGAGCACTATATCTTTAGTTGGTTGGGGTTTTTTTTTCATGTCAGACGGGTCGTGTGCTCATGTCATAACAAGGTTTAAGGTGGCACATGGCATACAAAAGCATGAACCCTCAATCATCATGCTCATGAACCAGAAAAGGACCTAGCACCACCCCTTCTGTTTTATGGCAGGAGAAGACCCTCGGGGGACAGTCCGTCTGGATGCCCCTCAAATCCACTCGAAGATGGTGAGAAAGAAGGCTACTGAGGAAGAAAGAAGAAAGGTTCTCAGTGGAGGAAATGAGACACTTGAGCAGAATTCAGAATCTCCCAAACAGGGTAGAGTACTAGATGGCAATTATCAAATCGCTATAGGGTGTCTCAGAAATACAAACTGGCATATTTACTACCCTGATAAGGTACCCATTTCCTTATTTCCAGATAGGCCTTCTGTTCCCACACACCTATTTACACACAAACATAGGGGGTGGTGTTGCTCTTAGCGACCCTATGAACAAAAGGCCCAATGCCTTTCTATAACTATCATCATTTATCAAAGTTCATAGAGTTTCTAGAGGCATGTTGTCTAAGTGGATAGAATATGTCATAGCAGTTACTGAGTCCTGTTCAGTGAATGTCTTTCTATATCTGTTCTGTTTTGTTCACTGATGTATCCCTGGTACTTAGAACAACTTTGATACCAACACTCAAAGACTCACTGTCGAACAAGTTGATTCTGACTCAGAGTGACCAGTTTCAGAGAATGTAGATCTTAATGGGAGACTTCCCATCTTTTTTCTGGGGATCCACGTGAATTTGAACCACCAGAGATGTGAAGGTGTTTAATTAGCAGTGCAAGATGGTATCAGCTATGTGACTGATACAGAATAATGCTTGAATATTCACACGGCACCCCGAATGCTCTGCCCTAATTGGATGGTGTGGTTTTGGAGGTACTTCTCTGGCAGCAGACGTTGGCCTACATGGTACAGCTGCTTCCAGGCCTTCCTCTACTGCACACTATTATAAGATATTCCTGCCCTGTCCCTTATCTCAGCAAGGAGATGCATTTCTGCATATCTGTTAATGGACTCAGTTCTTGATGTGCTGCTACCTTGAATGACAAAATGAAAACACTTCTTTCTGGATGATCTAGATTATCTCTTTATATACATTCTTTGCCTCTGTGGTAACCCACATCCTTCCACCCACAACTTATCCTTTAAATGGCTCTAACAGGTCATATTTCCCCCTAGGTTCAGAGTCAGAAGGAGAGAACAATTTACAAGTAGAGTTGGAACTAGTGGAGATGACATTGGGGACCCTGGATCTTCTTGAGTTTGAAATATTGCCCAAGCGGAACAGGAAGAAAAAGAGGAAGAAGGAAAAAAGCTGGGCCCTGGAAGCTGAGGCACAGAGGACTCCCGCTGGGCAACCTGAGAGAGAAGAGGCTCTCAAAGAATCCACCCAGTCAGATACGGCACCCACAGGGCCTTCGCCGGACGAAGCCCAGACCTCTGGTCAGCCAGAGCTCTGGGGTGTGCTTCTAGCTGCTTGCCGAGCTGGAGATGCTAGGACGCTGAAGCATCAGCTAACTGCCAGCCCCACAGTCCCAGGGATTCTGTCTCTGCTCAATGCCCCCTTGGGCGCTGGTGGCTTTACACTCCTGCATGCAGCAGCCGCAGCTGGGAGAGGTTCAGTAGTTCGCCTGCTGCTGGAGACAGGTGCCGACCCCACTGTACAGTAAGTTAGGACCCCAGCTTGAGCCATTTGGGGTCTAGATGATGGTCTGGAGGCTACAGTTGACATTGGCTACGGGGTAGTATTCCCTTGGTCTGGGTGGGTGATGCGGGTAAAGACAGGAGGCAAGTTGAATCCATTTTGGGGATTTCATACCTAGGGACTTCCGGGCGCAGCCACCATATAGAGTTGCAGCTGACAAATCAACACGTAATGAATTCCGAAGGTTCATGGAGAAGAATCCCGATGCCTATGATTACAACAAGGCTCAGGTCAGCTGGAAAAGGAAGGAGAAATGGAGTGGGAGGACATCACAGATCCCGGCTAGATCTTTTGTTTTCTTGGAGTTGTACCAAGGGGAGCTCTGGCTCTCACCTAACACCTTCCCTGAAATCCTCTAGGTGCCAGGACCCCTGACACCAGAGATGGAGGCGCTACAGGCCACACGGAAAAAGGAGCAGAAGGCAGCCCGGAAGATACGAGAGGAACAGCAGCGGAAGCAGCAGGAGCGAGAGAAACAGGAGCAAGAAGAGCAGCAGAGATTTGCTGCGCTCAGTGACCGAGAGAAGGTGAGGCTGGAGGGTCTCTCTTCAGCAGCCAAGACTCCCCTAGAGGTGAATCCCTTCCCTCATTATAGCGGCTGCCATTTCTTGGGTCCCCATACAACTGAGGCCTTGACCTTAACACCACTTCTCTTCTTAGAGAGCTGTTGCTGCAGAGCGCCGACTAGCTGCCCAGATCGGAGCTCCCACCCCTCAGACCCCTGAGCCTGTGATCACCAGTGTCCGGTACTGGGCTCAAGGGTGGTGTCAATGGGTGGAAGATAATGGTGTAGGAACCATTTTGGGCCATCGAGAGATTTTGTGGTATTTTGGGAACTTTGGAGTGAAAACAGAAATAGTGAGAGAGAGAGGGCATGGAGGGCTTAGATTTGAAAGATTTGGGGGTACCTGTCCAGCCATTTTTCTTCTTCTTCTTCAGACGCTGCTGGAGTTGTGGAGCATCCCTCGAAGGCCTCACTCCCTTCCACTACCTCGACTTCTCTTTCTGTTCCACACGCTGCCTTCGGGATCATCGTTCTCAGGCAGGGAGGCCCTCTTCCTGAGGGAGGCCCTCTTCTTGATCTCTTACAGTTCCATCTATGGCCAATCCTAGGCACATTCACACCAGCTCTAGGTTTCATCTTCGCCATGAAGCCAGTGATATTTGGAAGATTAGGGTGAGGGACACTCAGGAACAGGGCAAAGACAGGGCCACAGAGGTGTGTGGAGCTGGTACCGTCTCTGGAATTTTAATCTCAATAAAGTTTGGCAAAAAAGCTGTGCTTCTACTTCCCATGCAGGCCTTATGGCACCATGACCACACTGTGGCCAGATCTAGGAATTACCTTTCCTTCAGTGCCCACTCAGTTCCATTTGCTCGTGAGTTAAGGGCTCATTGAGGTATGTCCTATGCAAGGTGCTATTGAGGATAGGCCTGTCCAGAAATTGGATCTGGGGATTGAGAGGGACATTTTCTAGCTCCAGCACTGTGATTATGTTCAAGTTTCCATGAGGAAATAGAAGGGGTCTTGGCACGTAGAGGGTCTGTTGTGGCCCCTGCTTTGTCCAGTATCGGCCCAAGTTAAACCCATTGATCCACACCTGGCCCTAAGGAGGGGGTGGTAAAGGAAGGGTCAGGTCTCAGCAGAATCAGCCCTTTTTAGGTTTCTACCCACCTGCCTCCATCCATGGTTTTCCCCCTTCCCACCGCTTACCAGCCACCCCTGCAAAACTACCACCATCAGCAATACCTTGGACCATTTAGGGAGGTAGAGAAATGTGTCCCCAGCTGTGCCTACAATTGGAAATGTTGTAGAGTAGAAGACGGGGCCAGAGGGAGTTGGAAGGTGTGGCATTTTTGGAGACTGGGCAGGAAGCCACCACTTTACAAACTTATCGATTTTCAGAGGGAATATGGACCACTGAGTAAGGACTTGGTGTCCCAGAAGTGGCGGCTCCAGCAGGCCCTGGGAGGAAGGCAAATGACAGTTCATCATCCATCAATCTCTGAGGTCAAACAAGATTCCCAGCCAAGCCTTGGGCCCTACGTGGTGACCAGGTCAGACCCACCTCTGAAGGACATGCCTCTGGCTACTGTCCCTTAGGCCCCTGTCCTGTAGCAGTCAGGATACAGGGGCTGGTGAGGAGGGGTTAGGGATGGGTAAGGCTAGCTCACCTTGAAGTCACTGCTGTTAGACCCAAAACTGAGCCTCCCCATGTTTTCCACTAACACATCCAGTTGGTCTCCCATTTTTCCAATAAGCAGCAGTCTGTATTGCATACTTCGTTCCAGAATGCCCTGAAATACCTACGAGTAAGAGGAAAACCATAAGAAGGAGGACTCAGCATTTAGCTCTTGGCTGCTCCAAAGGAAATGTTAACTTGTCTACTAGTTAACCATCTGTTCTGGATTGCTCCTCTTAGTCAAATTTTGGCATCCCAGCTATCTCTGGACACCTAGCATTTGTGAGCAGGCAGGTGGAAACGGCAGCTGGGGGTAACAACAGAGTACTGAGTATCTCATGGGCTGCCAAAAAAACGAACAGAATGAACTGTCTTGGAGAAAGTGCAGCCATAACGCTCCTTGGAGGCAAAGATGACAAAGCATTGTCTCATATACTTTGGGCATATTGTTAGAGGCTGTTCCTTGGAAAGAAGCATCATGCTTGGAAAGGTGGAGGGGAAGCAAAAGAGAGGAAGACCTGAACAAGATAGATTGACCCAGTGACTGCAGCAGTGGGCTCAAGTGTGTCAGAGACAATGAGGACGGCCCAGGACAGGACAGGGTGCAGCTCTGTTGTTCACAGGGTTGCTGTGACTCATACTTGACAGCCCCTATCAACAACATGGGAAATGAAGCTAGAGAGTACTTAGGAATGAGGAAGGCAGGGCCAAGAAACCAGCTGGAGTTAGGTTCTCACCCCGTTCATCATCACGTAGGCACGATCATGGAGTCCATTGTTTGGCACCCAGAAGGATGTTAGCTCTGTATAGGTATTGACCAGATAGGTCCGGTACAGCATAAAGCCATGATCCTGGGTATAGAAGTACTTAAGATGAACTGAGAGAGAAGGGATATGGTGAAGAAAATGGGTAGCTAGAGAGAATTTGGTTCTACTGAGTGAGTTTTCGCTTTACCTGCTTGACAGCCTCAAAGCTCAATGGAAGAACTGAATGGATAGGCCCTTCAGGGCACAGGAAGTCTAAGAAAGCCAGCAAACTCCCGTCCTAATTAAAATAAGGGGAAGAATCAAAACTGCATAGGCTGGTATGAAATGTTTGGAGCATAAAGGAGTAGAACTGGAGACAAGATGGGGAGGAACTTACCAAGCGCAGGGTTAAAGGTCCAAGTATCATCTTACCGCTGGGGGGTGGTAATGGTCCCAAAGGAATTTCCTGGAACTGAACCCAAATGCTATGAGCCCAAGGAGAACTGTAGGAGCAACCCCAACTACAAGGCCTAAGAGCAGGGTGCCATGTATTGGGGTCCAGGGAAGGGCTTCATGGGTCATACTATCAACCTCACTGCCATTATGTGGCGACCTTCCATTGGGTTTCCAAGACTGTAAATCACAGTGGGAGGAGAGTGCCCATCTTTCTCCCTTGGAGCTGCTGGTGGATTCACACCTCTGGAGATGTGTAGGCTGGGTTAGCAGCACGACCTGCTCTGGACTATGCCGTGTGTGTATCCCCAGCCACATGGAAGTGGTGGGAAAGGCTTTCATGGGACTCTCGGAAGACTCCGGCTCAGACAAGAATCCCTCTACAAACTTGATCACTGCCCTGCAAATGATAAAAGCCCTTGGAGCTTGTCATGATAAAGCACCTTGCTGATGACATTTCGAAGAGCAAAAAGCTTAGGTGTGGGATCTCCTGCTTCAGAGAGGGGTGCGTCGTAGTCATAGCTGGTAGTGATGGGAAGGAAGCGCCCCTTCTCATCAGCACCTGGGGGCAAACCAATTTAATTAACATCTATCGTTCAGGTAACACGAACTAAGCAAAGAAAGTTTGAGGCATTGAATTTTGCTATCAGAAACCAGAGTCAGTTTCTAGATCTCTTGGTCAATCCAACCCTGATTTGAATTCCTTGCTTTGTTCTTGCTTTTCTGCCCCAGGGGCCACCTGAACTCACCATTCCAGTATCCAAAGTTGGTACCTCCATGGAACATGTACCTGAAGGTAGAGGAGGGTAAGGGTAAAGGTAAAAGCTGACCCATTAAATGATTAAAAGATGACCCATTAAACTGGTGGCCTAGTGGCAAGAAGCTGCACTGCAATCCCAGAAGTGAGTAGTTCAAATCCACCAGATGCTCTGCTGGAGAAGGAGGAAAAATCTCCTTCTATGCCACTCAGATCTGATTTGTTGATACATGCAAAAACAATTAAAAAAAAAAGTTAACTTTCTCCCAACACCCAGTTTCAGATTCATGTCCCCACTGCCTCCAGTTACATGTTCACACTGGCTCCCAAATGCAGCATGTTTTCCAGTCCTCTGGTGACAGACGGAATGGACCGTGTGGAGTGATTCTGGCCCCAGTAATCCAGCCAGCCTGTGTAGTACTCAGAGTTTACCTAGAGTGGTATGTGAAAGAACAAAGGGTGATAGAGTGGGGACTCGAGCTTGTCCTTTTCCCTTCCCTCTGATCATCCCTTACCAGTGGCCCATGGGGTTCATATTTCCGAAGCAGGTTAAAGATTTTGGTCATGTTGTCAGCTGCAGAAAGGAGGCAAAGGTAAAAGATGACCACAGAAGTGCCCCTTCCCCTGACCATACTCCTGTCCCCTGCTTAAGAGACCTGGGCCAAAATCGATTGTGGTGTAGACTCCCTTGAGGGTGCCACATTTGAGTCCTTCAGGTCCATCTGTGGTGAAGAGCAAGATCTTGTCTCCTAGTAATGCACGGAATAGCCCAGCCAGGTGCCTCAAGTAGCTGAAATCACAGGCCTTAAAACTACCATATTCATTTTCCACCTGCCAGAAGGAAGGAAAAGAGGAATCAGCTATGAAGTTAAGGACTCCTTATACCCACTTCTAGTTGCCCTTCCAACTTTGCACTTGTACCTGAACACTAATGATGTTACCCCCATTGTGGTACAGCCATGGATAGATCTTGGGCAGCAAGACCTTGAACCAGGAGTCCACTGCAGCAAGGAAGTCTAAAGGAGAAACAGTGTGCTCACAGCCCACAGTGCTCTGCTCACTGGAGTGCGCACGTGCGCACACACCAGACACACATTTATCCCATCAAGGCTAGCACCTTCTGTGCTGCTCACTCTCTCCATCCCACTTCCCACAACTACATCTGGGAAGAATGCATATATTTGTATGCCAATGGAATCTGTGCACAGGCGATCTTAGTTTTCCTCTCTTTTTTAACGATAATAAAAATGTTAAACACATCTTAGTATAGCTACTATTATGTAATCAACTTAAACCTGAGATTGCTATAAAGCAGCATGGGAATTCACGGAAATGTATCTAGGGTGCAATCTGAATCCTGATTAATATAAGTCTGCTGTTAGGGACCTCTCCAAAGTACTGAAGAGCAATGGTGTCACTCTGGAGACTAAGGTGCGCCTGACACAGGCCATGGTCTTTGCTATCACTTGTTATGCATCAGAGAGTTGGACAATGACTAGGAAAAAGGAGAACTGATGCCTACTGTGCGCCGTCCTCAGCATCCCTGATGAGCTCACCACTATAGTTACTGTGTTGACCCAGCTTGTTGAGGGTCTTCCTCTTTTTTGCTGACCGTTCACCCTTCCAAGCATGATGTCTTTTCCAAAGACTGCCATGCCTTCTTCATTCTCAAATCCTACTTGGGATTTTTTTTTTTTTATTCACCCTCAGGTCTTCAGGCAGGTTATTACTTGTACCTCACATTTTTCCCCTTCGTTATCCTGGCCAATTCCAATTCGTGATTAACTTATACCCCTCTTCCTCAAGAAAACCTGATACCCAAACTATTTGTTGTTTGCCTTTTTATGTGAAATCTTCTCTCAACTCACCTGGATCTGAGGTTCTCAGGTGAATTTTGGGGTTTCGTAGCAACCAGGATGGGAGACCCCCCTGAGACAGACATATAAAACACAACATGGAGAGTGTAGATTTTGTTGATTCAGGGTGGATTGGGGAGGTTAAGGAAATGTGTCACTGGTAGTGGCCCTTGGGAGCTGTCTAGGCATCACACCAGGGTGGCTTCCCTTCCGTCCCTTCTCCATCTGACTCACCATCTCCCACTCAGCACAGATGTAAGGTCCTGGCCTCAGTATGACCAACAAGTCCGCCTGATATGCCTCATTCAAAAACGCAATGAGGTCTCGGCTGCCTTCAAAATTATAGACCCCCGGCTCTGGCTCATGGTAGTTCCAGGGCACATAGCTGAAGAAGGAACATGTTAACAGGGACCAGGGTGAGGCGGAGCCGGGTGGGGTGGGGGGTTGCCTAACAGCTAGGGCCTTCGAGGATCCTCCTGGAAGCAGCTGGAACGAAGTCCTGGCGCTCTCCCAGTCTTCCATCTCCATACTGGGTCCTCCCGCCCCAACTCTCCTCCTAAGCTGGGGGGCTGGGCGGAGGATGGGGGTGGTAAGAAAGGCAAACTCCCTTCTTACAACTGTATGGCGTTGAGGCCGCTCATTCGCATCTTGAGAAGCCGGTCAGCCCAAAGGACCCGCGGGATCCGGAAATAGTGCAGACTGCCAGACACATAGCGGAACGGAACTCCGTTCAGGAGGAACTGGTCGTGATCCCGGTCCACTACGAAAGACCGAGTATCTGCCTACAAAGGACAGAAGGGGCAGGTCTCCGAGGGGGCCCAGGGTGGAGATTCAGACTGCCAGAGCTGCGGAGGTGGAAGCTGCCCTGTGTCCCGTTGGCTTCACTTTTTCTGCACCCGCCTGCCCGAGCCCCGCCGACCGGTCCCTGTGCTCTCACCTGGGGCAGCAGCAGCGAGAGCAGCAGCAGAGCCAGGAGACTGGGCGGCCTCGCGGGAGCCATGGCGCTTGCAGGGCCCGGAGAGTTTGAGGCTGTGGCCCGATCGTCATGTGGCGGATTCCTGGGAAGGAACCACAGCGAGCAAGGGGGCGGAGAACACCCCCCGAAAGGCCTGATGTTTACCCTGCACTTTTGCCTCACCTACTGGACTGTAAAATCCCCTACTCCAAGTGTAATAATCCCCAGAACGGCTTCATCAGCAGAACCTGGAAGCTGTGCACAGTCTCAGGCCCTATTTTAGACCGAGGGAGCCCCTAAAACCCAAACCCACTGCCACCCAGCCAGTTCCAAGTCATGAGGAGCCCTAGTGATGCAGTGGGCTAAGTGATGGGCTGCTAACCAAAAGGGTCAGTGGCTACGACACACCCCCTGTCTGTCTGATTTAGTCTCAGATACTCTACAGGGTAACTTGATCCTCTACAGGTCCTGAGTGATGATGAAGCTAAAAGTTGTATTTTAGGTGGTCCTAAACATACCCAGAATTTTGAAGCATGAACTTTTCAAAGCAGAGGGGCGCTCAGTCCATCTTGAATGTTCCAGAGCTTTACACACAGCACGTTAAAACTAGACGAATGAATGTCTGAACCAGGGGCTAACACTAGTTTCCAATGAAGGGAAATCTAGGACAAGAGAAATCTTTCTCCTGGAGAATCCTGCTTAAGCAAACAAGGCTCATCCTAGCCATTCATTCCACTTCATTCCTCCCCAATTCACCTCTGCCTGGCCAAGCAAGAGATTTTAGGAATAACTTCTTGGTTCCAAGGTTTGGAAATCTCTGACTCTTCATACCTCCTGTTTTCTCAGCCCTAAATGTTGAGATGTGAGGACTCACGCAAAAATAATTAACATTACTGTTTATTAACACTGAGGATTGTGTTAAGATACTGTGCTATCCACCTCCCATATAATTTACTCCTCAAGTAACTGGTGTAGATAATGATCATACTAATTTTACAGATGAAGACAGAAAACTATTAAGTACCCTATAGTGCATGGCCATACAGAAGTACTCCCGGCATTTGAACTAGCCTAATAACTGTCTTTATTGTTCATGCACTTAGCCATAGTTTTTGTACCATCGACCCATAGCTGACCCTCCACAATTTTTAGGGCCAGTAAATCACTCAGAAGGAGACTGTCCATCTTTCTCTTGAGAAGCAGCTAGTGGATCCGAACTGTGTAACTCTGGGTTGTCAACACAATTCCTTACCACTGAGCTACCAGGGGTCTCTACACTTAACCATGTTGTTCTGTGCAACCCTGTCGGCATCAACTCATAGCTGACCTTCTACCATGTTTTCAGAGGCAGTAAATTGTATAGAAAGAGATTGCTTATCCTTCTTCCCAGAGCAGCAGGCAGATTCAAACTGTGTGCCTTTGGGATTGCAGTGCAGCTTCCTACCACTAGGCCACCAGAGCTCTAGTGGATTAGCGTTAAGGAGTTGCACTGCCAATCCAAAGGAACATGGTTCTAATCAGCCATTTGCTCTACAGGAGAAAGATGGGCAGTCTTCTCCCAAGCAATTTACTGCCTCTGAAAAACAACTGGAGTTGGTTCCCATTCAAAGCTACACGACAACACTGAACCATAGGAGCTCTTAAAACCTGAACCACTTCCATCTGGTCGATTTCAATTAAAGAGATATCCTAGGGGTTCAGCGGGCTGTGTCTGGTTGCTAACCAGGAAGAGTGTGGCACCAACACACGCGCTGCTACAGGGAGGAAAGGCAGTGGGTTTTACACCCTCAGAAGTGCTACCCAGCAGCTCTATCTTCCAGGAGTGGCCTGGCCACCGTCCAAGCTCTGCCTGTATCTCATTCTGCACTGTACCACGGGTTTGGAATGAGACTGAAAGGCTCAATGATAAAGGCTAGGGAAAGTGAAACTCAACAAGTTAGGTAACTCGCCCAAGGTCACATGGCTAGTTGAACGTTAAATTCTAACTTAGATCCTGGCCATTTAGTCCGGAGTCTGAGCTCCCATTAGACCTAGGGTGGTAGGGGCCACAGGCCAGACACTCGAAGGTTCTACAGAACCAGAGCTCAGAGCTCCGGGAAGCCGACCGCGAGCCCCTGCCTCTCCTTGCACTCCCTCTGGGGCTGCGGATAGTAATGGTCATTTTCTGGCCCCAGTGCACCGGAGGTATGAGACCTCCTACCTTGGGCATTGGGAGATGGAGGTCCTGGGGGCCTCTGGCCGGGCCCAGATTTGCCCTTCTTTGGCGCAAATGCCTGTGTTCTGACCTCCACTGAAGGCCAGGTGGGACCCCTCGCCCCGGCCCCGGGACCCGTCCTCCCCGGGGCTAGCCTGGCCCCGACTTGACAGCTCCGCGCACAGACATCGCCCGGGCGCCCAGCGGTTGCTAGGGTACCGCGGCCGTTACGCCGGCGCTGGGTGATGACGTAAGCCACTTCCTGTGGCTGGCGTTTATCTTGTGTGGCCCGAGCCGGGTCGGTGGGCGGTCGGGGGTTCTGTGTTGTGCGCGTGGTGGTTGCTCGGCGTGGTCTCTGCAAAGGGTGGTCCAGCTCCTCGTCTCCCTGCGCTGCCTTTGCGTCTCGATGGGCGCGAGCGAGGGGGCCGCCCAAGGTGAGCTGGGCTTGGCGGAAGCAGCTGCGTGGCTTTAGGCTTTAAAGCACCTGGCTCCGACTTTCTGGAAGCTGGCATCGCCATGGGCTTTAAAGCATCCTACACCCGCCGCCTTGGAGCTGGCATACGCAGGGCCCGGTTCCTCTAAATGGAATCTAGGTCTTCAATTCTGGGCCTGTGCTCCTCGCCTTCTGACTTCCGGGGAAGTCTCGTCTGGGTCAGACCGGCGGCTTTACCTTTCTGTCCCTTATAGTGTGATCTGCTGGGCCCTGACCTCATCACCTGGAAGAGCCCATTCACCCTGGACGATCCCTGCAGTAGTCTCGATTGACCTTGAAGAGGATGACTGAGACACTATGGGCCATGCACTGTGTGTCTGCTCCCGGGGAACTGTCATCATTGACAATAAACGATACCTCTTCATCCAGAAACTGGGGGAGGGGTGAGTTTTTGGAAATCATTTAGTGAATCCCCAGGTTATGGATATTAAAAGCACCAATCTGCACATGACAGGAATATAAGGGGTTTTAATCATTCATTAAATCCTCTGACATGGCCTAGTTGCATGATATTCAAGAAAGTACTTTCTAGAGCCAGATCTCCTAGATCCATTCACCTTGTGTGACCTTGGTAACCCATGGTCTTGTCATAGACTTAATGGGGGTAATTCTGTCTCATCAGTGGGTTGTGAGGATTAAGAGAGATGCATATAAAATGCTAGCCTAGTGTCTGGTCCTTAAGTACTTGGTAAATGCTGGGTTTTACTCAGCATTTATTGAGCATCTGTTAAGTACAGAGCATTGTGTTATGATCACAGGCAAAATGTGTTCCTGTTCTTGAGGAGTTCAGAGTATAATAGTCTTCATTTTGAGGGTATAGTAGTCTTCAGACTTGATGTAGAAGTATACTGGATGATGTTAGGTGCCATCGACTATGATTCACAGCACCCCTGTGAACAACAGATGGGAACCTTGCCTTATCCTGTGCCATCTGCACAGTCTGCCATGCTCAATTCCATTGTGGTCATTGTGTCAGTACTTCTCATTTCTGCAAGAGTTCCTATTAAATGAGAAATAGAGCCCCCTTCTCCCAGGGGATAATTCTGGGTCTTAGCTCTGTGGGAGATGACTGTGGTCCTTCACTGACCCCTTTGACCCACAGTGGGTTCAGCTATGTGGACCTAGTGGAGGGGTTACATGACGGACACTTCTACGCCCTGAAGCGAATTCTGTGTCACGAGCAGCAGGACAGAGAG